GTCTACCTGCGCGGCTACCACGAGGCGCTGGCCGAGTGGCTCGGGGCGGCCGCGCGCCGCAGGCTCCCGCTGGCCGATCGCTACGCCCTGCTGCACTGGCACCATCAGGTGTACCCCAGGTGAGCCTGGGGCGCCCCGGGCCGTGCGCACGTTACCCTAGACACCTTGTTTGAGGTCTTGGATTTAGGGGGTAGGGTCTCATGTAGCTTTTTTTTTTTTTTTTTTTTTTTTTTTTTTTTTTTTTTTTTTTGAGACAGGGTCCAGCTCTGTAGATCAGTCTGGCCTTGAACTCAGAGATCTGCTTGCCTGTGTCTCCTGAGAGCTGGGATTAAAGCGAGCACCTCGCCACCCAGCTTTTTTTTTTTTTTTTATTTACATGCATGCCTATCTGTGCACATGTATGTCCACAGGCATGCGGGTGCCTGAAAGAAACCAGAAAAGGGCACTGTATGGAGCTGGAGTAACAGGCGGGTGTAAGTCCCCAATGTGGGTGCTGGAAATCAAACAGGTCCTTTTCAAAAATTCCAGCAAGCGCTCTTAACCCCCGCTCCATGGCTCCTCCTCCTCCTCCTCTTCTTCCCCTCCCCCATAACAATAATCAAGCCTCAGATACATTTCGTTGGCTGCAGTACTGACTCCTTGCCACGCTCACCTTCTGATCCTCCTCCTCTACCTCCTTATTCTTTCATCCTTTTTGTTGTGATTAAAAAGCAAAAACAAAAAACCACTCTGACCAAAAAAAGCAACGTATGGGAGGAAAGGACTCTCAACTCACAGGTCACAGTCCTCACTGTCCCTCCCTTTGAGACATCAGGGCAGGAACTCCAGCAGGAACTTGAATGAATGCAGGCTGGCTACCTGTTCAACACACAGAGAAGCACCTAGGACCCAAGGAACTCACAGCCAAGGAAATGCAGCAGAAACCACGGAGGAATGCAGCTGGCAGGCAGGCAGGCATCTCAGCTAGCTTCTTTGCAGAGCTCAGGACCACCTGCCTAGAGAAGCGGCCGCCCACAGTGGGCTGCACCCTCCTGAGTCCGTTAACTATCAAGACACTCCCCCACAGACTGATCTGAGGAGTTCCTTAGTTGAGGCTAAGTAGCTGTCCCTAGTGGTGGGTGTGAGCACTACATCGTGACTCATTAGACCCTGGCAAATGTGCGACCACCTCCTATACCAGCTTTGTGGATTGTTCCAGTCCCAGGACCTCAGTAAACTCAGCGCCAATGGCCTGGGGGTCCTCAGACGGGCCTTCTCATTCCTTCTTTTTGAGCCCATCGTCCCCCAGGTCTTTAGCACTGTGCATAGTAACATCCTACGCTTGTGACTTGCCTCTTGGAGACTTCAAATCCTAGCACTGCAGTCCTTCCAGACCTAGAACAAACACCATTGCGTGTTCTCCTCCTGAGTTCTCAGCGCCGTTTAATCCACAGCAGGCTAGCTGCTGAGTGCTGTGGACCTTCTGGGAAATGGTGAACGGTTCATAACATGAACAGGACCAGCTGTCCACCCTTCCAGTCCCAGGAGTTTAGCATTGTGAATCTCTGTCCCACTGACCCTCGGTCTGAGAGAATTCCAGAAGGCAGCGGGGTGTGATACCCCACGCCTGTATTCCTGACGCTAGGGAGGTAGAGGCAGGTGGATCTCTGTGAGTTTCAGAACAGCCTAGTCTACGTGGTGAGCGCTAGGACAGCCCGGACTATATAGAAAGACCCTGTCTCAATAAAATAAAATGAGATAAAGTTGTAAGGGACCAGTGAGATGTCTCAGGGGTAAAGACACTTGCCATGCAAGCCTGGTTACGTGAGGTGGAACCCTGGAACCCATGTTAGGGTGGAAGGAGAAAAGAGACCCCACAAAGATGTCTCCTGGCCTGCACGCACACATGGCATGCCTGCCCCTTTTGACCATGCATACATGCAATAGTTAAAAAAAAGTAGCTCTCTTGCTGGGCAGTGGTGGCACATACCTTTCCTCCCAGCACTTGGGAAGCAGAAGCAGGCAGATTTCTTAGTTCAAGGTCAGCCTGGTCTACAGAGCGAGTTCCAGGGCAGCCAGGGCAACACAAGGAAACCTGGTCTCAAAACAAAACAAAATAAACAAACAAATGGAAAGAGTAGCTTCTGTCTCTGTCTCTCTCTGTCTCTCTGTTCTGGGAATTAAACCCTGGCCTTGCATGCTCTCACACTCTAGACAAGCAATCTGCCTCAGCCCCTTTTATCTTTCGTTAAGACGGGGTCTTAGTCTGTACCCCAGGTTGGATCTGAATTCACTCTGTACATCAGGCAAGCCTTGAACTTCCAATTTCCCCTCTCAGCCTTCCAAGTATCTAGAGAGACAAGCCAGCCACACAGATGTTTTTAAAAGATTTATTTCCTCTTCATTTGTGTGTGTGTACACACACGCACATGCACGTGTATGCATATATTGATGCTAATGGCAGCCGGAAGTGGGGGTGGATCCGGGGGAGCTGGACTGACAGGCGATTGTGAGCGGCCCAGTGTGGGTCCTGGAAACCAGACCCAGGTCATCTGTAGGAGCAGCAAGTGCTCTTCACAGCTGAACCCTCTCTCCAACCCCTGAATTTTTTTTTCCCGAGACAGGGTTTTTCTGCATAGCCTTGGCTGTCCTGGAACTCACTCTGTAGCCCAGGCTGGCCTTGAACTCACAGAGATCCACCTGCCTCTGCCTCCTGAGTACTGGGATTTTTTTTAAAAGGCTTGGTAGGTTTATAACTCTTCCAGCCTAGCATGTTGGAGCTAGGGAGCATACACCTCTGTTCCACTCCCTTTGGAGTATTGGACTTGGCCACTGTTGACCCTGACTGTCCCCACACTGTTGAGTTCTGTTATAGCTCAGCACCACAGGCCCTTCCTCCCAATTCTAGAGTCTTACATCTTGTGAGCCTCTGAATCCCCAAATGGACTATACTTGTGGGGGGTTGGAGGGCATGATGTGGAGATAACTCATTGGGTTGGGCATCATGCCTTCTCTGAGAGGAAATAAGTTAGCCACCTCTAAATCACACATCAGAGAAGGAACGGATGTAGCAAAATCAGGACCGTGGTGCTCGGTGTAGTCACACAAATTTGTACTCTCAAGCAACTGGGAGGCAGAGGCAGGAGGATCAGGAGTTCAAAGTGAGCCTGGGCTATATATAGTGAGTACCAGGCTAGCCCGGGCTACACAGTCCCTAAAAATATCTAAAAGGTCAGAATACTGTCATCAAAATAGTAGGAAGGCTGAAGCTGGTAGCCATTAGAATTGATGTCAGTGAGGTCTCAGACGACCTGTGACAGGTGGAGGCAGGATATGGGTCCGGAAAGCTCTTTGAAGCGATAAGACACAGGCTAAGTCTGAATCAGAGGAAGATGGCATTTCTGACCAAGCAGATCCCACGAGGAAAAATCTTGTGAGGTTGGGTGATGGGAGGTGCGGGGTGGGCAATGATGATGATGTTACAGAGCCGCCCGAAAGGAGCTGGATTGGAAAGCCCCCCCCGCCCCCCATCCCCCCCCAGGTGAGGCAAAGCTCCTAAGGGTAGAAGCCCAAGGGAGCCTCTGCCCCCGCGAAGCTCCAATCTGCTCGCTCGCTCGCTCGTCAAGCCTGAACTTGACAGCTAAGTCTTGCCCGGACACCATCCATCAGGAGAGCTGACTCAGAGTGCTGGAGCCAAGGGAAACATAATTCTAAACACTTCCTTTGAGAGAGGAGAGGAAGGGAGTGGCCCAGGGTCGCGACACCGAGGCTGTGGGGACACGTGGAGGGGCCCCGGGGCCCTGCCCCACCTCTCACGGGCCTTTCTGTCTCTTACTTCCCCATCCCAGGGAGATCCTGGGCCTGGTAGACGTGGTCACCTTGGAGAATGGGGAGCTGGGGCCCCTTCTGTCCGCTGGCACCCTGCGTGGTTTGGAAGATGAATGTGTCACAGATGTGAAGGTACTTGGCCACTTGGGGTGGGGAGGGGACTCTGGCGGTCACAGGGGGGCTTGGCAAGCTCCCCTCCCCCGCTCACTGTTTCCACTTCCCTTTCCCTGTGGTGACCTGAGTTCTGTCCAAAGTCTTTTGACATAGACATCCAAAGCAAACCTTCCTCTCTTCCTTTTTCCTTCCTCTCTTTCCTCCCCTTTCCCTTCCTTCCCCATCTCTTTTTCTCTTTATTCTTAACTTTTTTCTTTTGACACAGAGCCTCAACCTCCCAGCGTTGAAATTACTGCCTGACCATTTCTACATTTTGTATCACCTCCCAAGTGTACCCCCAACACACAAAGGTTCGCTAGGTTCAGACCCCAGTCCCAGAGTCTCACCGCAAGGTCCCGATTGATGCTCACAGCAGCCCAGCGTGTCAGCATCTGGGCAACACACTCCCACATCTGAGAAGAGAAAGCAGTGAATGACCAGGACTGGTGGCACACTCCTTTAATCCCAGCCCTCGGGAAGCAGAGGCAGGCGGATGAATTCGGGCCAGCCTGGGCTACAGAGGGAGTTCCAGGCCAGCCAGGGCTGCATAGTGGGATTCTGTCTCAAAATCACAAAACAAAACAAAAACAAGTGGTTAGTGATGGGTCTGCTGGAGTCATCACATGTGAAGCTACCCTCACTCATTGAATGGAAGCACTAGGGAACCAGAGAGGCAAACCTCCAGAGTTCTTTGTTTTTGCCCTTCCACATTGCTGAGATGGAACAGGGGCCTTTTGAAAGTGCTCTACCACTGATCCACACCCCAGCCCCTCACTGGGGGATTCTAGGCAGGGGCTCTACCACTGA